TGCACAGCCTAGTTGAGAGCAGATACTCTCTCTCCTACCAGCATGGTCTGCATCTGAATAATCTGGAAAGTTATCAGCTAGGAACAGCCTAGTTTGGAGGCTACATAGCAACCTTATTTCTGATAGAGGTGGATGTTCAGTTGTCTCTTCTCAGCCTTACATCTTTCCTAGCCTGTCACCTGACATATCCTATCCAATAAGATAAAAGATGTCCATTGTACTCCCATTTATGAAAATATTAGTTTCTTCCTTAAAGGTAATGCAGTGCCAGGTACACTCGGATCTTGGCTGCCTTTCATTAGATTAGATCACCCATCTGCACCAGCCTTTACTCTTGAATGTGGCACCTGTCTTGGGTTCATTATCAATCAATTCACTGTTGGTGTTTTCTTACTGTTTTTAGTTATGCTGGTGTTATGCCAGTGCCCTGAGTCTGTGGGCACCTGAGCCAGGGTTGTTGATGACAGAGTAACTTGGAGGTCTCTCATGCATAGGATCACCAGAAATCAACATGATGGTGGCTAACATTAGCCAGTGTCTTTGTAACACCCCCAACCCCACACATATTCCACAGCATATAGGGCTTTCTGCTTTACATTTTATGCTTTTAAATCCACTCTTTTATTCTCTAGGTCAGGGGTAGGCAACCTTTTTGAGCCGGGGCCGGTCCGCCGAAGTCCTCCCTCCTGCTGGGCTGAGGGGGGGAATGGCGCTGCGTGCGGTCACACACACGTGCGCACCCCCGCCACGCATGACCCCCCCGTAGCTGCCGCCGCTGCCACGCGCACTGCTGCAGCCACATCCGTGCATGTCGCGGCCGCCATTTTGATTTCCAAAATGGAGACCACAATGCGTTTGCGCATGCGCAGGGGTACTGCGCATATGCAAATGAGTTGCAGCCGCCATTTTGGAAATCAAAATGGTGGTCGTGGCACGCATGGCTGCACAGTGGCCAAAACACGCGGCGGTGGCAGGGGTCCGCCTGGACCGGTAAGTACGGCAACCTGGGCCGGAACTGGCCCGCAGGCCATAGGTCGTCGGCCCCTGCTCTAGGTCATGAATTTCACAAATTCTGATCCAAATTAATGCACATCCTATGTCAGCTTGAATCCAGATCTACCATCTCCAAGAGTCCAACATTCACACAACTCTAAAACAGCAAACGAATCTTGTGGCATCTTTCTGACTTACAAGTTTTATTTCCTATAAACATGAACCTGACTACCAGATTGGACATGTTCACTACATCTAGGTGCTCAACAGTGCTGCTGTCAATCCACCACACTGCTGTAAACATACTAGATCTTACCTGGTTATGGAAGGCAATCATTGTCAAGCCTGATTAGTAGCTGGGTAGAAAACTACCAGGAATCATCTCTAAGGACTTGTTTAAAAGAATTCTTCCTGAAGCCCTGGAGAGCTGCTGCCAGTGACAGCTGACATTACTGAGCTAGGTCAGTATTCTGATTTTGTACAAAGTAAGCTCCTATTAATTTCTATAGAGAGTAATTTGAATGTTAACAGTGAAAGTGGAAGGTGAGGCCACTTAAAAGTGTCACTTCCAATTTCTGGCATTCACTGATGTTAATATTTGTTAAGTGCCAACATATCATAATGTGCGTGTAATTGACCTGGACAGATGGTCTTCTGTATTGCCAAGTGGTGAGAATTCTTTCAGACCTCCAGACCTGATCAGAATTTCAGAAAAGCAGCTGTGTGACAATTTTATTCTATGCAGCAAAAGATTCATTTCAATTCTATTGTTGCTTTCAGTCCTGTAATGAAGCAGGGGGAAAAAAATAACATAATCTAATGGGCCACAAATACTCCACATCAGAATTATCTCAGCAATTAGTAAATTGCTATATCAGTCCCACTTTGCCCACTGTGTTCAAACAAACTGTTAGGTGTTTTGCAAAACACAACTATATGCTAATTTCAAATTAAATGCAATTTCTAATCCCAGCTACTTTTCCAGACATACACTAGATATTACAAATTTTCATCTGCTTTCTATCATTAACCATCCTACCTCTGTAGGTAATTTTAAAATCACTTTTTACATATTCTCATGTGTGCACCTAGTTACATTGGATAGTGTAACTTCTTGACCCCTTGTATCAACAGTTATCTGCTGGCAGCTGTTTAATGCATGATGTAAAACAGAAAAGCCATAATGCTTATCATGTATGAGCACCCTTTCACATCACACAGTTTTCATACCATGACTGCCATGGCAACATCCTGTGGTTTGTAGTTTGGGAGAATTCTAAATGCCTGCCCCTCTTTAAACTGCAAATCCCAGGATTTCACACAATGTTGCCAAAGTAACAAAAAGTTGCACTATGATTTCATTTGACAGGGCTCTGAGTTTGATCATTTGTTGCTATATATAGTATCTAGAATTGAAGCTCTTTTGTTGTTGTTTTGGTGGAAAGTTGATCTATATCTGGTTGAAGTGGAGGTTAAATTGCAAACGGAGGCTCAAGGTTGCTTCAATCTGCAAAATGCAGCAGCCAAATTGGTGTCAGGTGCACAGGATGACCAGATGTCATAACTACAAAGGAGGACGACACTGCAAAATGTAGGACATTCGAGAAATATGTAAGACATTACAAAATAAAATCTGGCAACACTAATATAAATATAAATTCATTTCATATAGTTTTATTTACAGCTCTATGACATATACTCTGTTTTATTATGTACTTAACCATATTTTTCTGATGAACATAGGTCAACCTCATGTATAAATTGAGGCAGGCTTTGGGCAAAATTTACAGATTTTGATACGACCTGTGGATGCTTGAGAGTAAACCTAGGGGTATGTAACAATGGATGTAAAGAACAAAAGAAAAGAAAATGATGCAAACAATATGACAACATTCCAGCAGGCATAACTATTTGTACTTATACTAAAGGCTGGATGGATGAGGACGAACCTACAATAAATGTGCAATGTATAGGGTGACCAGGCACAAGTTGGGCTAAGAAAATGCATATGTGTCAAAAAGGATGAAAAGGCAAAGCGGGGGAAAAAATGGCAACTTTGTTAGTAGTAATCTACTAGTAGTAACTTTAATGTGATAACTCTGGTTGATTTTAACCCAGAAAAAATGAAAAACACATACAAATGTCTTATTCAAATTGTTAAAAGTCCAATTCCTCTTGGTGCTCCTTTGAGCGGAAATGTCAAAGAGCTGTCACTACCACCATTTTCCTGCCCAGGCATTCAAAAAAGTCAAAAGTGGCACCATGACAGAGAGAGCAGAAGGGGCCATTGCTTTTTTCAAGTGCTCCTGGGATGGACTAAGCCAGGGGTAGGCAACCTTTTTGAGCTGGGGGCCGATCCCCCAAAGTTGTCCCTTCCAGCGGGTCCAGGGGGGGGGAATGGTGGCACGCGCGCTGCCGTCGCCGCCACACATGCCGTGACTGCCATTTTGAAAAACAAAATGGTGGTCATGGCACGCGCGGCCATGCGGCGACCAAAACACACAGTGGCAGTGGCAGGCAGCGGTGGCGGCAGGGGTCCGCCTGGGCCGGTAAGCACAGGCCCTGGGCCAGAACTGGCCCAGAGGCCGTAGGTTGCTGGCCCCTGGACTAAGCTTTTGGCACTTGACTCAGAGAAGGGGATGATTCCTTTTTAAAAATAAGAGTTAAAGTACAATGCTTACATTGATTCATGGATAAGTCAACTCAGTTTTTTGGGGTCAATTTTTTGACTAAAATTTCTAGAGTTATAGTGTACATGAGTTTTATCTGCATTAAAATGCCTTACTGGCTTGCAATACAGTTGTAGGAATCTGAGCAAGATAAATTCTTAAAATTGTACTTTACCAGCAACAAACCCAACTAAATCTACATTTAAATTATTCCTTTAATTTGTCCATTGTGCTGAAATGAAGAGGAAAAAACCACACCTTTGCATTGTATCCTCAAGCAGCCCATTGCCTAACATATTTGGTGCCCTTTTCCTTTCCAAGAAATAAACACACCCTGGACCTGAGCTCTGGGTGCGAGTTTTGTCAGCTGCTGCTCCTAGGAAAAAGGAACTTTAGGATCCATCCTGTCCCCCTATTGTTGGCAATGACAGGCTGCCAAGTAGACAAGTATCTTCAAGGAGAACAGCAAAAGTGGTGCTGCTCAATAGGTTTCATAGTGATGCATAAAATGGAGGGCATTTTGGAATTTTTCCTGGACAGAAAGTTGAAATGTAGGCAAGGTGACCAGATGTCCTAACCGCAAAGGAGGATAAAGCACTGTGAAATGGAGGACACTAAATAAAAATGGCAGACACTACCAAACAAAAGTTAAAAACACTCATATAAATTCAAATTCATGCTTCTTAGTCACGTGCAAAATAGAGGATATTTTGAAATTCCTGCTGGACAAATGGTTGGAATGTAGGGCATGTCCTAGAAAAAGGGAGATGTCTAGTCACCCTGAATGTAGGACATGTCCTGGAAAAGGAGGACATCTGGTCACCCTGCAGGAGTGCAGTTTAGAAGCCCTGTAACACAGATCTGCAAGAATGACGCTGGCTTCCAAATTGCTTCTGAGCACAATTTTAGGAACTTTTAAAAGGAGTATTTAATATGTTTTATAAATGTTTTTGTATTGTTTTAATAGGCTTTTAGTTGAGAGCCAGCGTGGCCTAGTGGTTTGAGAGTTGGACTACAACTCTGGAGACCACAATTTGATTCCCACCGACTGGGTGACTTTGGTCAAGTCACACTTTCTCAGCCTCAGGGGAAGGCAATGACAAACCCCCTCTGAACAAATCTTGCCAAGAAAACCCCATGATAGGGTCGTCATAAGTCAGAAAACAACTTGAAAGCACACAACAACATCAACAACAAAGGAATATTTTAATAGTTTTTTGTGGGTTTTTCGGGTTAAAATGCCTTACTGGCTTGCAGTACAGTTATAGGAATCTGAGCAAGATAAATTCTTGAATATTTTAATGTTTTGAAAATGTTTTTGTAGTGGTTTAATAGAGAGCCCGTGTGGAGTAGTGGTTTGAGTGCTGGGCTGTGGCTCTGGAGGACAGGGTTTGAATCCCTGCTCAACCATGGAAACCCACTGAGTGACCTTGGGCAAGTCACACTCTCTCAGCCTCAAGGGAAGGCAATGGCAAACCTCTGAACAAATCTTGCCGAGAAAACCCCATGATAGGGCTACCATAAGTCAGAAACCACAGGTTTTTATGTAATTTGGAGCCCTGGTGGGCTGAGAGGCGACAAAGAAACACCTTTAAACTAAATAAATGATAACACAGGCCTCCCAACCTTTCCTTAGGAATGCGCCTGAGCCATCTGCTCTGACGAGTGAAGTTTTCCCTCAGGGCTCAAGTCTGAGGAGAAACTTTGTGGGAAACAAGGACGACGCCCCACTTCCACAGCCCCATGGCCACGGCCACTGCTGGCTAAGGGACTCTGGGAGTTGCAGCCCAAATTTCGGGGTCCATTTTGTGGAGAAAGAAAG